CAGTTCACACAAAGCCCCCTCGTGTTAATGCATCCCTGCTGGTACCTCTGTGTACCAGCAGCGGGTTTAAGCAGGACCCATCAATCCCCTTTTGACACTCTTAAGTGCCATTACTACTACAATGACAACATCAGTTTGATACACATGTTAAAGGTCAGCATTTGTAAATAAGTCCCTCTTCCACACCAAGTTGACAATGTCACAAGATTTGAAAAGCTAATCAGTTCCTTGAATAGATAACTGGGGGCAAAAATTAACCTTGGGAATAGACATAACTGGAGGAGAGGATTTTTTTTTTGCACCGAAAAAGGAGTGTAAATGTGTGAAAATGCAACTTATATTTAGTTTTGTTTACTGTTTCTCCACTATGAAATCATCAATACCTACCTAGTGAGAGAAGATCCCTTTGTCCATCTTTTAGGGCTCTAGGGAATGCATAAGCAAACACTTAGCTCCCATAAACCAAGGAATCACAAGACACCTGCTAGCCAAGTCTCAAGACTTACAGGTTCAAAATTCGAATGCTCTCAGGAACTAACAATTTTAGTAACAGTTTTTGCAAAGCTACTTTAAAATGGGGGTTGCTATATAAACACTATCACTGTTACCTTTTGTTCATCTGCTATCACATCTACCTTTAAGTGACAAACCTGTTCTGAAACTTGCACAATGCTCTTCAGTGACTAGTCCAGTAACTGGTCATAAACCTGAGTCAAAATCCAATGCATTGCAGGAAAACATGCAATAAAATGCACTACAAATTGCAGTATCCATAGAGGGTATAAATGCTTTTTCGCTGAATAGGCGTGTAATTAGAAAACCATCAAGAGATACACTCACCTCAACTTTGTTAGCAATAAATCGGTTATCACCATCAACACTGATGGAGAAGTCATAATATCCACTTGCAGGTTTGATACTCATGAAGTTCAGCTCAAAGATGTCTCTGTGACAGAAAAAGCAACGTGTTAATATCCTCTAGGATACTAACAGAGCCTCACAGCTAACATGTTGTAACAAGAGGTTTCCAAATATGCTAGATTAAACAGGCAGTAAACAGAAAAACACCCAAAGTTGTGTGCTGCTTAAGTGCAGGATTTCTCTTCCCCCAAAAGTTCCCCTGAAATCAAAATTATTTTGCAGTTACCTAGCTGAGAAGAAAAGTCACCTTACAAAAAATCAGTATCACCACCAAACGTGCTCAGTCGCCAGTTATCAACAAAACCCATCACAAGTATCTCTCTGGTAGACCACACAAAGGGGAAAAGAAGTTGTTTAATATCGTTTGAACAGAACTCATTTTCCCTACAAACTGTAAAATTAACATTACTTTCTTACCCTGACAGAGCAAATTCTGTCTGTTGAAGGACAGTGGCTTTGGTAGATGCAGACTTGGCATACTCTAGCTTCACAGAAGCTTGAGTCAGCGGCTGAGACATAACGTCGGTCACTTGCAGCTACAACAAAACAAGAATTTTTGGGAAACCTTTTCTCCCAAGAGGAATGTCGGTGCACACAAGGCTAACTCGCTTTTAGAAGAGCTCTCCCTTCCATGTTATACCCACAGATTTATCCCCTGCTCAGCATCCCAGATCCACGACATTCCTTTAAATACAGCTGGGAAAGCTAAATGCTCTGATTAAAAAGAGCTGACTTCTACACAGTGCCTTTTTAAAGCAGGGTCTCTTTAAGCCCCAGGTAAGCAGATATCGCTAACATTCATTTCCTAAAAGCAGTATTTTTATGAAAATCCCAATAAACTCAGGATTTAGTAGAACCCAAGACCTGCAGCCAAAAGTAAAGACATGTTACACATTCAGTCGGCCCAGACCTGTAACACTGAGGACTGAGCCATGAGATGAGATTTGAGACCAAGAGCTCACCCTGAGCACAGGCTGATGGTGAGACACAGCTGCGGGTCCATCAGGGACAATCATGACAGGCAAGTGGTAGCGGTTTCGGGATAAAGAACCTGCAGCACAAGCAACACTATATGCCTCTGAGAGGGTCTCAAAATTCTTCTTGCTAAAAATGGCATTCATCAACTGGATAATTTGATCCTGAAAGGAAAAACAAACGGCAGATTAGCACCACCAGCTTCCCTCATCATTGCAAGCTGATTCAGTACAAAGCTATTTAATACAAATATAGCCATCATTCTTAAAAAACATTTAATTTTACATTTGTTCTAGGATAACTCTGGTTATGAGGTAATCCCTAATTTGCTACTTTTGGAACATATTACTCTTGGTTGGGAAGTTCCAACCACAGTCACTGTAATTATGTGGGAAAAAAAAGCCAGAATTCACAAAGCCAACTTGCAAAGACAGAATTTGGATCTAATTCTTCAAATAATATGCTTAAAAACAGGAGAGGCAGGACCTGCACTCATGCAGTTGCACAAAGACAGCCTGGCTTCAGGAGCCATAAAATTCTCTTGGAACAGTGGGAGAGGACAAAGTGAGATGCCCTGGCTACACGCCAAGCAGGGAAGGCTATGGAGAGGGTTACCTGTACTTTGACCTACACAAAATACTGTGGGCTGAGTTCTAATCAGAAATGAGAAGACAAAGACAATCCCAAATAAAGTAAGAGGTACCCAACCTACTTGTGCACACAGAGCACTTTTAAGTGAAAATCACTATCTCTTATTTTTTCAGCCTCACGCTTGTATTAACGAGAATCAAGGAACATCATCTGCCTAAGGAAGGCATACAGATGAACACTACCCATCTCCAGCACAGCACCAATCCTGTAGTGTTCTTCATTTGCATGGAGTACAAACCTGATCCTGACACACTGATTTAAACTGTGGAAAATACGGGAGCTGTTTTTTTAAATAATACATCTGATAATTTTTAAAGTTTTGTGGCTTTCTAGAAAAAAAAACAGGCACTCCCAGCATTCACAAGAAATAAAGCCATAAAGCCCCACAACAGCACTCCTGACAGCACAATTCTGCATCAATATTTAATAATTTCCTTTAATTGGGCTTTTTTTGTTTTTTTTAAAAAAAACAAACATCATTTGAATGCTGGCAGTTCGAATTGTGTGCAACAGAATCACCACCTCAAAAAATGACATAATAATTACTTTTCATTTAGTCTATTTGGCAGCAATATGAAAAAGAGCAATGACTTCAGTCTCAATCCAGCCACTTTGGCTCATACTGTGGGGAACTGCTACTTTCAATCAAATGCCTATCTCACCCCATTAACTTGTTACTAGAGAAAGAAAAAAAAATCTAAGTTCAGAGCTTGCAGTAGTGATCTATAGTTTAATCTAATTACAAAGAATTTTCTAAACAGTTTTTCATTTTAGCATAATGACCACATTTTTGCATCTGGATTCTCAATCAAGGATTTGGGAACTAATGTCACCTCCTTTTGGGATGCCGCAAACTGGGGAGCCTGCGTTTCCTGACAGGCAAATAACATTTGCGAAACACTTTGAAGTGCTGCAAAATGTTAGAAAAGTGCTAAATACAGGAAAAACTCTAAAACAAGAGGGCTTTTTCAACAGCCCGTCTTAATAAACAAAGAGAAGCTAGGCCTCACTTGCCAATTCCTTCTGTACATTTGAGAGGGTGGAAAAAAAAAGTCAGCCTGTGATCTTAAGGGTGGAATTTCCTCCTACATTCTGTTAAATAACATTCCCCCTGGCATTTCCTATTTCATTCCCTGTACTCATTACTTGCTCTGGGCAAAATTCTACCCAGATATACTGAATGCTTTCACTGCATGAGATGAAACGCGTAAAACTCCATGAAATGCAGAAATAATGAGATATTTTGTGACCTATGGTGTGCAAAGAAGAAAAAAGCATTCACAGACCTCCTTCATCGCTGGTTCTGTACCCACATGGTCAGACAGCTTATAGGCAGCAGCAACAAACAGTGCAGTAGTCTCGATTCCTTCTTCAAACTGCAGATACACTCCACCCAAGTCATCCAGGCGAGCAACAAGATCCTGACAAAATTATTTAAACTGCATTCAAATAGGTCCACAGAGATTAGGTATGGGATCACTTAAATATCACACAGCAGGAAGGAATTTAAAAATATAGGGAAAAAAGCAGCATTTACTGAGTTTATTATAAGTCATTACTTCTCATGTCACAGTTCACTGTGACTCAGTTAAAGCAGCCCAGAAAAAAATACCTGTTTGAAAGGAGTAGCCAAACCAACCCACAGGTTATGCAAGAAAGGAACTCGATAGGTTGTTTTTTTCATTTTATTTTTACATCATTCACTACAGACTCAAATAATGTTTTGACTAATTAGAGATTCTAACATATTCCTACCTCTATCTCTTCAACAATGCCACTTAGATCTGCCTGCTGGGACAAGTAGGATGCTGTCTCCAAGGCCTGGATGGTTCTTCAGCAATGAAAAACAAAAAAAAAAAACAGTGAGTGATTTTCCCTCCTCAAAAGTCAAATATCATTCAAATCAAAGCACTTACAGTTCCTATTCTGAATGAGGTATAAAACAGCTGTGACTATACTCGGATTCTAAGTTGACTCATAGTAATAAACCTGAGGTGGTCAGTGGAAATCTAGCCTTCAGTTAGAAACAAAAAAAAAAAAAAAAAAAAAAAAAAGGTTCAGCTGCATCAGTTGTGCCAGAAACTTACAGATTCAATGACAGAGAAGAAACCAAACACTGAACTGTGCATAGCAAATATCCTTAAACTTGATATTGAAGCTTCCAGGCAGCCAGATTTTTGTGAAGAAAGCAAGTCTTTAAAAAGTTTCCATTTCTTCCTTATCTTTTAAGTAAAACTTTGTTCTCTCCTTTCACAGAAAAAAAAAAATTACTTAAACAGTATTTGGCGGTAAGTGCCAAAATTCCTTCTGCTGATCAGCTCTTTTTATCCCACCTCACAAGAGAGGCAATCCAGCCTACAAAAAGGACTGGGAAAGTACATATCAATTCTGCCACAACTTGAAGAAGTGATAAAGAATTGCAGCTAGGCTTTAAGTCAAAAATCTGTTACGAAGCTTTTTTTAAAAATAAAGGTCTCTTTAGGATACATTCTCTTTACTAACCATTAATCTTGAACTAAATATCAGCAGCTCATTTGCAGAGCACATTTTCTTATTTTCCCAGCGCGACAACAATGAACTGGATGAATATCCCAAATAGAAACATAGAACCTGCTCCACTAGAACTACATTATGGAAATAGCAAAGCATTTTCACACTAAAATCCAGCTGCCTGGAAGGTCTGTGTGTGACAGTGAAGCATTTCTGCCCGAAAGACTTACGCCAACACGCTCTCTTCTTTGCTAAGACGAGCAGTGAGGGCACTAAGTGCCTCCTGGGAGGCCAAGGGAAGGCCAAAGCCACTGAGGGCCCCAACTGCATGGAAGATCTGGCTGACTGAAGAATCCTCGCTGACAGCTCCGAGGAGGAACTCCCTTGTCTCATTTGAAATGGTAACCTGAGGGAAAACATAGGGAACAGAGTCACCCTTAAAAACTCATCCTTTTACTCACCGCTGATTTCTTCATGGAGCAATACACTTGACTGGTAAACTACTACTATATACTGGAGAAAGATCTTTTAATCTTTCATCACTTTTCAGTTTAATTAAATATTTTAAGTTTTACAGACAACTCTCAGTTATATAGGATAATCCAGGATTCAGTTTTATCCTAGCACAAATAGGACTTGCTCTTCATCTGACGCCAGAGGGTAGTGCAGCAGCAAGTGGTACTGATGAAAAATAGGACTTGGATAACTCCCCTTTATTTAGCAAGGGTGGACTGTATTTGTATTTTTGCAGTGTTTTAACACAGAGGTTACATCCAACCAGTTTAAATCCAAAACAGTTTTTTAACTCAAGCATCTTTTGTGAGTTTATTAAAATCATGCTGGCTCCTTTCTTCTTCTAAGCCACTGATGCTTAATCTAGAGAATACCCTAACCTATGAGCTGGCTTTGCTGCAGACACTGGACAGCTCTGAATTCACATGTACAGCTTGCCTCAGTGCTTGAAGGATATCTGGGAAAGGTAGAGTGTGAAGAAGAGCAGTCTTCCCAGTCAAGAATAGCCTGACAACCAGAACAATGAATAATGTTTGAGGGGAAATGATTAACTGTTTGTTAGGCAAAGTACAAAGGAGCTGCCACCAGCCAGATCCTTGCCTCACTCAGCATATAGGCAGCACATGCAAAGTAGTAGAAGATACCTCATCCCAAGATGCAGCATGGTTTTACACACACTTTTTACACACATTAAAAGATTAAAAGATCCTTCTTTAAACTATATCCCATAACGAAAACAACTTCTTACAACTTGTCATTTATGGACAATGTGTGCTATAAGAGGGTTTGTTAATTTTCAAAATACTTTGTGTACAGTTCATAAATTACTCAGCTAACTGAAAGAAAAAATAGAAATTATGCTCAAAATCAAGGGTAAATGTCTATTTGATAAGACTTGCCTTCAGAGTTTAGGGGTTCAGACTCACCTCACACCCAGACAGGACTCGGATGGACTGTGCAGCGTAGAAGAGGGAATCAACACTGCTGGAGTCTACATTAGATTTGATGAAATTGCAAGCAGCCTGTGAGGAGGAGAAGCAAAATTATGGTAGCAGTCTTGACTTAAACCACTCAGAAAAGGTTTAAATGATTCTCTAAGACTACTTTATATACACTGAAAAGAGGCAAAAGGAACCTACAGTCATATTTGTTAAGCAGCAGAACCTAATAACCCCCTAAGATCCTGCCCTGCTAAGTACTGCACAGAATGTTGCTTGTCAAAGAGAGATTCAAAGTCCAGCGACACTGACATGAACAAAAGCAGCAGCTCCTGAAACAATCTGCAGAACAGCAGGAACCCACCAGACAAGGAGGGCAGTGGAAATGTTTTCAGACATCTCATGGTTAAGACCTTGTAGTATAAATAAACAAGAATCCATGAGAGACTTGCCCCAAATAGCCTCAGAACAGCTAAATTTATTGATTTTTTTGAGAGAATAACAAACTTCTGTTTATAGCCCAAGCATATAGTAAACATGTACCTGCAAATAAATCCGTCAGAATAAAAACCTACAACATTTAAAGTAGAAACACAGATGCAAAGGAATTATTATGGACAAGAAGCACCACACTGACATGACCTTTGCCTTATTACTACCTTATATCTTAAAGCACTTCATAGACAGAAAGAATGTAGTGATCCGACTGCATGTGTTGTGGCAACTAAAGAGATATAGCAAGAACTCCATTTAACAGGACAGCAAAGCAAGCAAGGCCACGGACAGAAATAATTTTCATACAATGGTAAGGGAAACCGACAGCTGTAATGACACAGTGAGAAAGTGAGGATGGATGAATCGCAAAACTACTGCTTGGAGCAGTAAGCTGAGAGGGGCCTGCGGCACTGCCTCCCTGGGGAAAGAGGCTTTTCTAAAGGGCCGCACTCAAGCGAAGGGCCGGTCGTCACTACCAGCTGCCAGGTACCCAGAACCCGCAGCGCTGCCCGCGCTCTGTGCGCGGCACAACCGGGCAGGAAAGGCCGCGGGTCGCCGCTCGCCCTCCTGCTCCCAGCACCTTCCCGCGGGCCCGCGCGGGGAGGCGGAGGCCCCGCACGCACCTGCTCGTCGGGCACGCGCGCGCCCAGGCAGCCGAGCCCCGCGAGGCCGTGGAAGGCGGAGCGCAGGTCGCTGAAGGGCCGCTCGAGC